TATACTGCAATTTAAATTTTCTGCGTTTCACTTTTCCTTCACATCGGCTTTCCGGACAACTCAATATATACATACACACATATATATATATATATATGAATCATCTGTCTCATTCTCAGGCTGAGCTAATAAAGAAGTTGAATCTCGGAGGGGGAATGATCTGGTCCTTGGACTTGGACGACTTCAGGGGCCTATGTGGATGCGGAAAGTATCCACTCTTGACTGCTCTAAATAATGGACTCGGAAGAGGGAACGGTTACACAACGGACTGCACTTGAGTTGTGAAATCGCGATAATGTAAAAGGGCGATAACGTCTCGAAAGATTTTTTTGTCACTCAAGAGTCCATGATTTTATTTGGCAACGTTATTTCATTTCTCATCTCTACGTATTTGTTATAACGACTAAATTTTTTTATTAACGCTTGCTCTTACCGAATACCTTATACAAATATTAGGTGTACAACTTTGCTTCCGCCGTTTTTTTTCCGAAATTCGGGTTTTATTGTAAAAAACTGGTTATACATTTATGATTCAAAGTATTGTCCATCGTTGGCCACTACTTTCTCCCATTTTTCGGGTAGTGTACGAATCCCGCGTCGAAAAAACTGATCATCTTTTGAGGCTATCCACGAATCGATCCAATTTTTTACTTCTTCATAAGACCAGAAGTGCTGGTCAACCAGGTCATGTGCCATTGATCGAAACAAGTGATAGTCAGAGGGAGCAACGTCTGGAGAATACGGCGGGTGGGGTAGGACTTCCCATTTCAACGTTTCCAAGTATGTCTTGACCACTTTCGCAACATGGGATCGAGCATTGTCATGCTGCAAAATCACTTTATCGTGTCTCTCGTTGTATTGCGGCCGTTTGTCTTTCAATGCTCGGCTCAAACGCATCAATTGCGTTCGATACTTATCGCCTGTGATTGTTTCAGTCGGTTTTAATAGTTCATAATACACTACGCCGAGCTGGTCCCACCAAATACAGAGCATGACCTTGGAGCCGTGAATATTCGGTTTGGCCGTCGACGTGGAAGCATGGCCGGGAACTCCCCATGATTTTCTGCGCTTGGGATTATCGTAATGAACCCATTTTTCGTCCCCAGTCACAATGCAATGCAGAAATCCCTTCCGTCTTTGCCTTTCAAGCAGCTGTTCACAAGCAAACAAACGCCGTTCAACATCTCTCGGCTTCAATTCGTACGGCACCCAATTTCCTTGCTTCTGAATCATTCCCATGGCTTTGAGGCGTTTTGAAATGGCATGTTGAGTCACTCCCAATGATCGTTTTTCTTGATTTTGACACGAGTTTTGCTCAAGTAATGCCTCCAATTCTGCATCTTCGAAAATCTTCTCTCTTCCACCGCTATGCCGGTCTTCAACGTCAAAATCACCGTTCTTGAAGCGTTGAAACCACTCACGACACGTTCTTTCACTAATAGCGGCCTCACCAAGTATTTGAGAGCATTCGATGAGCCTCAGCCGCAGATTTCTTCATATTGAAGCAAAAAATTAAAACCTCCCGCAAATGACGAGAATTTGGCTCGTAAACTGACATTTTCAATCGAGAATAACTTTATGATGCAGACACAAATCGACTAATGTTTCTATGGGGTTATGTTGACAGATGCCCAAGTTTATTGTATGACGTCTATGATCTATTTATTTCGACCACCACTTACCGCTAAAGCCATCTATAGGAAAACGGCGGAAGCAAAGTTGTACACCTAATATTATACAATCTTGTGAGTATTAGTTGAGTCTTTTCTTACAATTAATTTGAAAAGCGCGGGCATACACGCGAAGATTTTGCGCTATTTTTATATGTTGTGCGCCTTTAATCGCGAATATATCTCTTAGATTCTTCTGACGAATAAAGAATTAATACTAAGTATAGCATTAAAAGTTGTACAAATTGCTCGCAATACGAACAAAAAAATCGCATTTATAACAAACACTTTTTGTAAAAATGTAGCGCATGAATACCGGCCATGAACAGAGTCCTCTCGAATGTAATCTTTGCCATGTTCTGATATACACTGCCAGTGCTGAAATTCTATAAATAACATAAATTAAAGATTTTCAATACTGACTCTAGTGTATATACATGGTCCTTATCGAGCATTTTTTTTATAAAGACCTTTTTCATATGTTATCGTAACACAGGTGATACGCTGATGTTAGACTCTATTGTATCCATTGTATATGTGTGCCATTCTGTTTTCCATTACTATTATACATGGATAAAGCAAATGCGAATTAATTCAGTGGTTAGCTGAAATAACATGGACATTTTTCATCAGTTTTGCAATAAACTCGCGCGATGTTTCAGTAAAAATTTCTCTCGCGATAAGATATTATGTATTACGTTAATATGTTATAAGGCATATGAGAGTGCTTTAATAGCGGGACGATAAATTGCGATACTTTTCCAGATGACGTAAATGATAATGAGAAGAAAAGAGAAAGGAGAAAATGCGAAAGATCGTATTATGCATCTCGAAAATCATCCCCTTCCGTATACATTTTTACGTCACCTGCGAAGATTAAAATTCTCGTGTTAGCATAAGTGTTTTGTAATTAAGATTGTAATTATGATCCTGCCATAATCGTGCATTTATCAAGAATATGGATAAAGTGACTCCTCGCGGAATAATGAAGATCGACTAAAGAAAGACAAATTGTATGTGACTACTGTTTTAAACACATCTGCACTGAATCAATAAATCACGCATCAATATGAATACGATTTATACACACGTAGATTGAACTCACAATGTCCAAAGAGTTATACATATATAACTGAGGTAAATGACAAAAAAAAAGTGTGAAGCAAAACATAAACACTGCATTATTTTTAATTTAACTTAATTTAAATTGGTTATACAATATCCGAAAATCATGAAGCTGAATCAAACGAAAAAGTAGAAAAATTGAACAAATTTGCATTTAAAATTTGCTAGAGAATCTGCGTGGTGAATCGAATTATGGTTCGCTTATCGCGAAAAAATTTTAATATGTAATATTAAAAAAATATTTAAAAAATTTTAATAGTATATTAATCGTAAATGAGGAAATTGCAAGATATCCGCGATCATTTCCAATTATGATGCTGCATTTCCATACAAATTACGTGAATATTTTCTATAAAGACTTGACAGATTTATGACAGATCGCGATTGCTATGTAAATTATCTTAATGAGTTCCGAATGAAAACTAAGCTGTTTCTTACATCTGAATTCTAAGATCGCATTCAGAAATGTGCGGAATATTTCACAGTAAAGATAAAGGAATAGAAAAAAAGTTAAATAATTTTTTTTTTAATGTTATCTCAAGTTTTATCGCATCAATTTAGTCACTTTTTGAATCTTCAAGATAAAATTAATCTTCTACTAATACGTATAGGTAATTAAATCGTGAAAATAGAACTTGATATGCAATTAATTTACAAGGTAATAGAGGAATAATCATTTTTTGTCATACATAAACGTTGCATCAATTAAATATAACACATAATTATCACTGCGAGTTGAGTAATGAGACATAGGAATTTTATTTTAATTTTATGCTTTTTGTATTGCGACGTCTTGAGTTTTTCAAAAGTGATTTGACAGTAAAATACAACGTTACTTCTGCATTTCGTTTTGGATATTAAGTTTTTTACAATAAACCATTACTTAAGCTTAAAGTTTGAAGTAAGAAATTGACTAATCACAGTCGAATATGAGAAGAATAATCGACTATAATTAATTGCCAATTGGTCAATTACATTTCAGACATAAAGCTTAGATAATGGACAATTATGTTTCTATACACGCACGTCTATATTTCTATATTTCTACTCAGATCTATGCGTGCACGTTACCTCTCTATGCGCGTTGTCTAAATCAAACGGGATTGGTGGACAACGGTATTGGCTGTCCGATCGCTATATCGTTAGCCAGTATACGCGGCCGTGACAATCAAAAGACGCGGAAAGAACCGCGCAATGACGATTAGTCAAACTGCATTCCACGTTGGCGTCGGTTGATACTCAGTTTGTGTACGCTCTTGAAAATCTCTGAATTTTGTCGCGAATTTTGTTACGTGCCGAACAATATGAAAGACACAATGGATGAGAATCAAGGTATGTCTTGAGGTGTAAAATAAAAAATTAGTAAGGAATTAAATGAAATCGTGTGAAGAATCGGGAGTCCTCCGAAAAATTTTTTGAGGACATTCCGAGGCTGCTGCAAATTGATCAAGTATGTGTTTCAAATCGAAATTTATAATATAAATTAATATTAATATTTAATATATATTTAATATAAATTTATAACATTAATCATTCTTATATTTTTTTATATTAAAATTATGAGATTTTTTTTTTATTAAAATCGGGAAATCAAAGTTTCTACTTAGTTTCTACTTAGAATGAACAGCTCGCGACAATGCAGAGTCTACAAAATAACACAGCAGTCAGAATTTGCATAATTAACTGCGCTACAGGAATCAATTTCGCGATGAATAACTTTATTTATAAAAAAAAAAGAAAAAAGATATAGATTCGATTTGAAATGATGTTGGTCAGATGATAAGTACTTCGCGTTTTGTTGTCACGCGATTTCCGTTGCTATTTTTACATGGGAACTCGTTCAAGAATCATACACACACACACACACACACACACACACACACACACACACACACACACACACACACACATATATATGTTGTATTCTCTGAACACCACAGCGCATCACGTGGAAATACATTGTCACCCGCGCTAGTAACAATTAATGCAATATACTGTACAATCGGCGAACTTGTGATCGCGAGTGTACGCACTATTGCATGTCTTGTGCCACGTGCACGTAAGGACGTTCTATTTTTGCTCCATGAATTTTTGAAATTCGAGCGCCAGCACCACTCTCTCTATTCGGCTCTCCGGTATCTTCGTACGATGGCAGATCACACATAATCAAAAAAGCAAATATATTATATTCTACCTATTTGGCCAATTCTATGCCCACATTCTTTTTTCTTCTTCTTCTTCTTCTTCTTCTTCTTCTTCTCTTCTTCTTCTTCTTCTTTTTCTTCTTTTTCTTCTTCTTCTTATTCTTCTTCTTCTTTTTGGAGAAGAAAGTTACCCATTCCTCAGACTATAAGTATTCCTCTGCCGAGTATTGCAAACAGAAAGAGATGAAAGAAACAGCTAAACTATAAGAGAGACAGCGATGGGAGATAAAGTTAAACTGTAAAGTAGAAAGAGATGAGATATAAAACCGCAGCTAAGCAAAAATTTAGTCAAAATATAACAACGTTAAATAACAGCGGCATTAAATAACAGCGTGGAGCAATTTCGTCAAACATTTATTCAAAAGTAAATTTACTTAAAAAAAAAAAGAAAATATGAACTTTGAACATACATACATATAGATACAAAGACGCAAGTCTTTACTTACGTGAATCGTGGTATAGATCAATTTGCAAATCTTATCTCCTAATAATCTTTTATTATTGCAACGGAATAACCACATTATTCAGTTTCTGAAAGTATGGAAGGATTTGAGATGTTCAAAGAGTTTAGAAGATGTATAAAATGCAACTGCAGCGTAATTGTAAATAACTGTAACATTATTGACATGGTTTTCGTATAAAATCATATATTTACATGCGATTAAATGTTAAATATGAATCAGTGTCTAGGAATTCCACAGTCACGTTTTGTTGAACCACACCAACAATGCACGTTTGCATAGCCGTGTAAGAAAGCAAAAGTGTAACATATAGGGTGCTTAGGAAAACAAAATTTTTGTTAAAGAAATTAAACTTCATTTTTTATCATTTTCGCTTATAAATAAATTTCTTTTTAATCTTTTACGTTTATATTAACAGTTGATATATGATTAGAATTGAATATAATAAAAAAAAGCGACGAAAAATCTTAAAGAGTCCTATCAAAAAGAAGGGCAAAAAGACAAATTTGAAGGATATTAAAGAATATTAAAGAATATTCGAAGAATATTCTTTCTAGGAGATTTAGATTTTATTAATGATAAATTATTTTTCGATTTTTCCACTTAAGTGGAAGAAAAAAAAATTCATAAAAATTTCTGTAATCAATTTTACATTGAAAGCGTAAAGGATAACAGCAGATAAGAAAAATACAAAACTTTCGATTCCGGACATCCTTTATATATCGCTCGACTTTGCACATGCTTTGTCTCTCGCTCGAGGATTCGTATAAAAAGTATAAGACAGAGAAAACAAAATGAAAAATATTCATGTTCACATCTGAAAATGTATCGAGAATATGCACATCGAGCAAATGTGCAAATGCACATCATATGTGCAAATGGACGATAGAATCAAAGTTCGCGGCGGGCTAATAATATTTGTTCTTGTAACTAAATATTTTATATTTTTTCACCTTCGCTTTTCTTCTCGCCGACAGATGTGTAATTAATTACATTTATCTTATTTAAAATATAAAAAATGCAGCATGCTATATTATAAGAAATAAATGAACGGAATTAATTTTTTCCATATTATATGTTAAATGGAAATACAAAAAATTAAAAATATTGTCTATATTAATAAAATAATATTGATAGTCTAAAGCGTTTTCCATCAAGTGACATAATTGACACACTGAATCATTTTATCCTTGTTGTTTACTAATGTTAAAAGATAAAATGATTCACTGCGTTATGAAGCGACTACGTTCTATGTCATCGTAATAGAGTTTAATAACATATTCATAATTATTATAAATACTGTCAAAATACAAATTATTATAAATACTGTTCGTTTTATAAACGCTAAGTTAAATCTAACTTTGTGACAACTGATGGTGTTATTATATATAAAAGTGGATTGGTATTTAACTAGCGTTTATACATTTTATGTAGCAGTGAAGGATGTTTTGGCTGTATAATACATAAGCTAAAAGCAAAATTGGGTAAGTTAATGCTTTTTTTTATTTAAATTAAGTTAAAATTAATAACTTATAAAATTAGTTAAAAGTTAAATGAAAAGTTAATAATTAAAAGTTGAATGAACAAAAACTGATGATAAAGTTACATCAAGCTCGAATTAACACAAATTAAATAAAAAATTAATTTTGAAAAAAATTGTTTTTTATTAAATTATCTTAATTTTTCTTAAAATCAGATTACTTTAAATAACATATAAAGACAATTGCAATATATAGATCATCGGATAAATTTAATATTTTATTTATAAATTTTGCACAAGAAATAACAAAGCTATTTCTTGTACAATAAAAAACTGATTTAATATTTTTCTATTTTAAAACTTTTTAATATTTTTCTATTTTTATATTTATATTATAAAAGAAAAATATAAAATGTAATTTTTAAAAATATAGATAATCTTGTACTCCTCATTTTTGTGTTGATCTGTATGCACGTTTTTTTGAAAATTATACGTAAATAAAAGATTTACTTTATTCTTTCTTTATTGCTCATTAAAGATATAAAACAAGAATAGCAACAGTGACGCAACAGTTGATAATATCGGAGCACAGACCTTTGCATAATGCATAAGAAAATCGCCTAATCAGAGTCTTTTATTTCGTGGAAACAAAGGAAATGAAGAACTTTGATTGGTTTATTTTCTTATGCATTATGCATTATATATTATACAAGACTTTATGCTTCCGCTCATTAACATTTCCTAAATGCAAATCCAACGCACTTTTTATCTCTGCGTATTACGAGCGTCGCATCTATTAGTATTATTATTAGTATTATCAACTGACTTGAGCTTTTTTAAAATTAATTTCCTAATATTTAAGATTTTATAGAAAATAATATTGACGTTTAGAAAGATAAAAGAAAACTTATAAATTAAAGTTTATAAAAGTAATTAAATTAAGTTAAAAATTAATTCCTTCCAAATTTACTAAATTAAGTTAAAAGTTATCAACTTTTTAACTTTTTATTTTACTTTTAATTTATTAACTATAGTTTATTACCCAACCCTGGCTAAAAATATGTGCCAAAAAATTAAGGAACCATATTAGCTAATCAACCAAAAAATTTTTTGTCATATATGCTCTGAAATTGCAAAACATAAAACAACAATAATGACTTTGTGCAATAAAATGTTGTATTGTATGTTTACATTGTATATTACATATATACAATATATTACATTGTATATTTTGTTACAATTTTTGATAAATAATTTTTAAACCAGTAATAAGTGGATATTTAATTTTTGCACGAACATTTATTAAAATTTTTATAGTATACAAATAGGTATACATTATATATATATATATATACGAGGTATCTCAAAATTTGCGATTCAAAATACTATAGCAAAATATACTGAGAGAAAAAAAGTGGCTGCAAGTACCATTTAATTTAATTATATTTTATAGTCTAATTTTTTTGTGGGGGGAGGGGACAACTATAAATTTATAATAATATACAGCTGCTTCAACATTGAATTATAATGATCATTACAATTACACATGCATTCATGTATTACATAATTATCTCATATCTTAAACGAAATTTGCATATAATAAATTATCTCTATTTTTAATTAACTCTAAAATATTATGACAAACATAATTCCAAGTATAAGGAATCACATACTTATATAATAATTTATTGTTTATTATGGTAAAATGTATTCATATTACAATATAATGATATTCTACTTTTTATGTACAATATATACCTGTAATATCACATCACTTAGAGAAAAGTCATATCAGAGATTTGAAGATAAATAGCACACTCGCGCTGTCTTAACTATTAGGGGAAAGTAGGGGAACTGTGTGCACCTAAAGAAAATTTATTGCTAGATTTTCCAAGTTTAAGGCGATGTATGTAAACTTTCCAAGTTTAAGTATGAAAATAGGAACTATAAATATTCTATTATTATGCATCCTCATATCGACTTTCATTCAATAAGGTTGTATTTAAGCAAAAGGAAAAAACGGAAAAGCGAAAAAATTTCTCGCGCGTGGGGTAATTGTGCGCAATACAAAAGTCGTAAGAATGAATGAATTGTGGAATGTTGACAAAGAAATCAGAAAATATATTCATTATGTTGCAATCACATTATATTGCAATATAAATATATATTAAATAGATTTTAAATATGTATTGGGTTGTCTGGAAAGTTCGTGCCGATGTTGAAGGAAAATTTAAACGCAGAAAATTTAAATTTTATTATACATTTATTAAATTATACAGGTTAATCGGCACAAACTTTTCGGACAATATTAAGAAAACCCAATATTAAGAAAAAATACAACTAATATAATAATAATGCATATACACTTTGGCAAAATGAAATAGTAATGCCAAGAAGAAATGAAAAAATTAGTGCTAATCATATAGTATATAGAAGGTGGTAATTGTACGCATTTAAAACGCTTGCGCAGAATTGCGCGCCGCGATCTGACTCGGTACGAAATACGATTACTTCAATTTCTAATCAAACTTAATAAATACAGCTCAAAAGATCCACATAATAACGTACTTTAATAATGTATGCAATTTTAAACAAACAAATTAAAAATACAGACTTATCTTATTTTCTGAAAGCTAAAATAATAAGAAAAGATGTGACACTTTTTTGTATTTCTCTGGCTAGCAAAATGTATTTACGTCATATCTTTTGTAGTTATATCTTAAGAGGACGACCCCCTGCGTAAAAATTTCACTATGTGATGTTTTCATCTATTGGAAAAAGAGTAAACCAAACCAGGATGCGCATAATTCTCTCACTTTCCCCTATATATTATTATAAGAGCAATAAATAAGTTATATGGACTAAGAATTAAAATATAAAGTAATATTAACTATTTGTTACGATTAATATTATTATATTTTCTTAGTTCATGTCAAATTCGTATTTTATATATATAGATAATTGTACGTGTACGGAAAAAGAATAATTGGAATAAAACTTTCTCTTTGTGAAACAGAACTAAAAACTGTACTGTTGAGATGTATTTCTCATTTATTTTTGTCTCTGAAATTCGAGCCCAATGTTGCGTCTTTTGGCTGTGTTCCAAAATTGACTACTAGTATTGAAAATCTATAGTGCACGTAATGTAAATTGTAGCATTTTCAGCAAATTTGGCAGAAAAATTTGAAACATCGCCCTTATTGTATACCAACTGATTTTCTTTTTAAGAGAAATTGAATTCCGTTGCGTTCCTCAGGTGACTTATTCCGGATGACAAGTTTTTTCTTCTACTATAATCCAATTTCACTATAATCCAATTGACCACTTTATATAGGTACTTAAATTTCAATCTATTTTATGTGTCTTGCGTCATGGAATACTTGACTAATTGCATTTATTTCGTATTCGTTTTTATTAAAAAGAATGTGACATTCGCTCTCTTATTTGTTATGCACTTGACTTGATATTTGTTCTTTTTTAAAAAAGATTTTTTAACAGTTCTAGTTAATTTAATTTCTAAGGACTTTGTGAATTTGTAAATAAATATTATAAAAGATGATTTTACATAAAAGTTATTAAGGAAGACGAAAAATTTTAAATTTAATTACTTTTAAACCCTGCAGTAATAGAATTGTGTTCGAATTTTACCCAATGAAATTTTAAGATTCAAAATAGATTCAGTATTCTGATTGGGTTATTATTCCTAACGAATGAGAGTTTGAATGACGCGGCGCTACGAACCCTAACCTGACTTGACGAACCCGATGGAACATTAATCGCCACTCGAGACTCGAGTCACTCGAGAGGCTCGAGAGTATCGTCAGTGGTTGTGATACCCGTGTGACGCGTCATCCGCGATCTACTCTACAGTCCATCGTATGTGAGAGATCCTCGTGACGCGTAAGACGCACTCCGCGCTTCCGCGCGGCATGACGATAGGTAAGTGATAGTTTACCTCCCTTCTTCAGAGGGACAATCTTTCGATTGCGGTTTGCAAAAACGCAGTCGGAAACGCCTTCCTCATTTGAACTAAATGTGTCCTTAATGAGGAGAGCAAATAGGAGGGAGGAAAATTGTAAGTAAGTGAATCCAGGGGATGTAAATTGTAATACCGTAGCGCTGTCTATCAGCATCAGCCATCATAAGCGCGTCGCATGAGAGGCATTACGTTCTCTCCAGTTCTCTCCATCACGATCTTCGTGAAAGCAGCACAAACTGGTGCTAAATATGACCGCATCGTCACGTCGTCGTGTTAATTTAACTGTGCAATCTTGCATGCTCCGCATTTTCTGAATAATGGAACAGCGCTCGAATAAGGAATATAAGTAATCATTTCCTTATGCTTGCAGAGACCGACGTGTCCGCACTGTGTCTCGACGTGTCAAGAGTGAAATCGTTGGCCGGAGAACCGCGGAAGTCTGTAAGTTTTTCAATCATCGCTCTCTATAGCACAGCTGTCTGTCTGTATGATGTCCTTTGAATTTTCTGTACAATAACGCAGTCAGTTATTATCTCTTGGCTCTTATTTGAACGGACTTTTTATTTTTCCGTTATAATTAGCATTCTTTATTTAATTCTGCGCGATTTAAATCTCTTGCAAATAAATGAGGATCTGGTATCTGATTTAATTAATTAGCGAAAATCAAAGAATTTTTATTATTTATGAGAGAAATTTATAGAGATTCCAAAATTGCCTGTATTTATTTATAATCTCGTACTGATTGGAATATACTTAAAAGTATAGTATTTACATAAAATTGAATCTAACTCGTCTGCAAAGATTTAATATATATTATTTCATGCATATATTTATCAAAATAATTATCAATAATGACCGTCGTATCGCTACCTGTGTCGTTTGAGAATGGTATAAATTTGGTTTTCGCAAGCCATTATTAATAGTATATATGTATATATGTATAATAATTGTGTATAATAATTGCATATGCAAGCGTCTATTAAACATAGCGCCTTTATGTGAAAAGAGATTTTTGTATTTTGTAAAAATTTTGGCGCCAAATACTTGTCAACGCCAATTTGTATTGGGCCATTTTGTTTTTTTTACTTGTTACCTAAGTTTTTTATTCAAAATATTATGGATAAATTAATATAACGCAGCAGTATTACCGAATCAGAAAAAAGAAATTAGGTACAAATTAACGGTACAGTTATCTAATTTGTACGTACATTGACGATTATTCCATTCAGTCCTAATTTTCTTAATTCATTCGAAACGACGCATATCTCAATTATCACGTCACGCCATTTTCATTTCTTCCGAAGTAGGGTAACTATCCCTATTATAAGTGCTTTTGTATTTATATAAATAATTTATATAATGAAAACTACGCAATAAATAAGAAAAAATGTTTGTTTTTTTATTAAATTGAATTATTAATGTATACGATACTCCAAAGATAATATTTTATTTTTCAACTATTAAAATATTTTAAACATTTTTCGAAAGACATGAAGAATTTATATGAATCCAGTAATATGTACCGCAAGGTTTTAAGTTTGTCTCAAGGGGTGCGATCCAGCAAATGCTTTGAAGCATTCTTTAATTGGTCATTTTATAAAATTCTTTCTTCTGATATTGGTCAATGAAGTATTTGCAACATTAAGTGAATCACACCCTATTAGTGTGCCTTGTATTGGAGCTGAGAATTGTCTGATATAAGTGTATGTACATTGAAATAAATATAATAAAAATAATGATTTATTAATATATTAATATATTAACTTGAACACTTAGCTTATCTGTTTTAGTACAATAATTGTATATTGAAATGAGTCAAGTGCACACAAATTGGGGCCATCGCCGCTTAGAGGCTAATAGGGACAAAACATGTTTCTTATTTTTATCAAAAATTAAATATTAACATTTTTTAGATTAAGAATACATTATAAAAAAAACAAATAAAATTAAAGTTACAATATTTAATAATTAATTTAATAATAAGCAATTTGGCTCAAAGGCATACTAATATAATAAGGACAATTATCTTAGTTTATTTGCAGTTTTTAATCACCCGCAATGTACTATCATTAAAGATAATATGACTCTCTGGTTTTTCTATAGATATTTTTCATTTAATAAATTTTTAATTTAATATCATAATCTGGTGATGAGCTTTTTCTTTCAATTGCATGTATAATATTATTTATAAATTATATGGTACTTTATAATATGTATTTTTCTGGCTGAAAAAATTAAGATTTTTCTTACCACTTTAATCTGTGATTTAATTGATTTGAGAACACGATGTGAAGACCGTTATTCGTACGTTTTCTAAATGATTGAGCTTATGCTCTTTGTCCCTGTCTATCTCCCTGTATTAGCAAAATTATATGACAAAGTACAGTATTTGATATGATAAGCAAAATTTCCAAGGAAAGTGCTGAGATTAAAGTATTAAAGATGTCTTTGATGTTAAAATGATGACAAATAACGTCAGCTTATCTATTAAGTATTGCTAATAAACGCTTTGCTAACGTAAACACTCATTATTTATATTGATGCATGTTTCTTTATAATATCTCGAGCTGGAGATATATTTGTATCTATATTTATAGAATTATCATTAGAGTCGAAATACATTATATTTTTGATATGTATACCGTCAATATGAACATTGCAGCCCATGATTCGCATCAGTTGATAGAAGAATAAGCCGAGCGTGGGTGTATGTGTGTGTGTATACGTGCGTAAGCGTACATGCCCTTAAGATAAAACGGTCAAAGGGTATATTTTTCTGCTCTATAACAAATTCATAATAATGCATGGTTGGCTATCTGACCAGTTTACAGGTAATGCCCATGGTGTGTGGTTTTGTTGAATTTTATTCCATCATTCCGTCCTGGCTTTTCCATGTTATCACTGATTGGTCTACGAGGGTGCAGAACACACTTCATATTGTTTACGATGCTTAATTACGTGAGCGGTATGGTCTTCTGATTTTACATATCGTAAATTTTATTTTTTAAGAGATTGGTGAAGTCCGTACATTATTTTAAAGATATCGCAGTGTCCGCTACTCAGTTAATTTTGAAAATCAGTACTAGTACTAATATTTTTTTCTCTCTTTTTTCTTGAATCAGTAAAAAAAAAGAATAACTAGAAATATTTACTAGCTTTATTAGGATTAACGTTACATTGGTGTAATCCAGCCGATGTATAAATTACAATCCTGATATTACAATGAATTAAACAATTCTTTATTAATGATTGTTTTGTAAAGCGGACGATATCTAAGAATTCCATTGTATAATTGATGACATGATATGAAATTATCAGAATCCATCTTCATACATCGCCATATTAAGACTGGTGTCAATAGATACTGCAAGTAACATTTATAGATTACGTATTAGCACTTGTATTTACATTAAAAGTATTATTTGCATTTATTATATGACTATACTGCTGAATAGATATAAATAATGGTAGCTCATAAATATATTAATCTGTAAGTTGTACTATCCATAAGAATTAACAAAGAAATTTTTCAAATTATATCGCTCCTGTTAAATAAATGTTTATTATGCGTAATAAAGTTCACCTTTCACTTAAAAGGAGAGAAAATTTTTTCACGTGTGATGTGACATAATTTCTAATCTGCGTAATTTCTTTTATATAGGAGTGTAACAATGCACATGATGCCGACTCTGGTGGATGGACTCCATTGCTGGTACTGGGTGGTGCCACTTGCTGCCTGGGATCAACATTACCAGCAGGATATAACTTAGGTGTCATGAACAATCCTGCCCATGTTCGTAGAAAACCAATACGCGATTTCATCGAGCATAATGTACCTGAAATTATACACTGTTGTATATTTGGCTTACAGCTAATGCAATCGTTCTGCAATGACAGTATCAGAGAAAGGTATAACGTACAATTGTCCAGCCATGAGCTCCAGGTACTCTGGTCCGTCATAGTATCGGTCTTTCTTATCGGAGGTGTGTCTGGGTCTTTAATCGCTAGTTGGCTGAGCGACAGATTCGGACGGAAAGGCGCGCTGAGCATTGGAAATGTTTGCGGGATTGTAGGAGCCGTTCTGTTCATGTTCGTACGAACCATGAACTCAGTCGAGCTTTTTCTGCTTGGCCGAGTGATTGTCGGTGAGTTAAAAAATCGTTAATTTAATCCGTGCTCGATTTAATCCGATCCCAATTAGGCGTTTAATTAATGCAAGAACATATAGCGATAAAACTATAATTACAACTTGAAAAGTTGATCAGCTTCCTTTTTTAAACTTACGTACTATAGTATTAACAAGAAATTTTTGTGTATATTATGCTATATTGTTGTACTATATTACAGTATATTATATTATGCCAAGTATATTATGCAAGATATTTTAGGAAAAATATAACCTTTTCTTACATCAAAAGAACGCAGAACGTTTGGCACGATGTTATATTTACTTAAAAAAATCATTTTCATTAAAAGAACCGACTGCTTTTTGTACTTTCAATTTGAAGGCACGTATAAGTCTTCATCTTTTTAATTTAATTTAAAAATTTTCATAATATATAATGTAATGGTTCTAAATATATTCGTAGGACTTTCCGGCGGTCTAGCTACTTCTTTGGTCCCGATGTACATGACTGAAATAGCACCTTTAAAATTGAGAGGGGCCGTCGGGGTCTTGTGTCAATTGGGTATCACCTGCGGTGTGCTGATGGGCCAAATTGCTGGGCTCGAAACTGTCCTGGGTACTCCTGAGTCCTGGCATATAATGTTAGCATCTTTCTCACCGCTATGCCTTGCTGCCTTATTATTAACTGTACTGACTTTGCCAGAAAGTCCAAAATATTTGTACATAATCAGAGGAGAACAAGGAAAGGCTCTTAAAGGTGTGATAACTTTTATTTGCAAATAATCATCCGGGTATATAAATGATATAAATTAGAATCTATCAGTTTTCGTTTTAGCTCGCTTACCATTATTACTTTTATATCTTAAATTCGGATTGCTTTTAGAGCTTAGCCGTTTGCGCAAAATGGACATAATGCTCTTGCAAAACGAGATCACTAGCTTGCAACAAGAATTAGCAACAAGATCGGCGAGTGAAACATGGAGCATTAAGCGCGTGTTGAGAGAGCCGACCGTGAGATTAGCTCTATTTTTAGTGTGCCTCCTACAATTTGGTCAGCAACTTAGTGGCATTAATGCGGTTTTTTATTACTCAAACACCATATTTCTTAGTGCTGGCTTGGGAATTGCTGGTGCTCAATATGCGACTATAGCCACTGGTGTTGCAAATATGGGAATGGCGATGATTTCTGTGCTGGTAATGTCACTATTTAGCAGAAGAAAAGTATTGTTCTTGAGTTGTTACTTATGCATAGGATGCCTTCTCTTTTTGAAACTCTCTATCGCACTAATTGTAAGTATAAATAATTGTAATAATTTTAAATAGCATATTTTTACGATATGTTTATTATATTATAATTTCAATAATATATACATAAAAATACACACATATATATATATATATATATATATATATATGATTATTAAAAATAAACAGTTATAACTGAAAATGGTTAAAGTGACTCTTGATGCTTAATAATGTTTATATTCGCAAGTTGTTTGCAATGTTTCAAAGACGTTTATTAGCATCATTATTAAATTGATATTAATGTAATTTGTGATGTTATTTTCAGCTTCAGTTTATGAATTACGTTTCAAATCTGACAAGCGCCGAATCAGCGCGGTTTATACAATTGAAAAATGTATTTGCAAATTTACATATGATCATTAATAAGCGCCACTTCAATCGAAAATAAGATTCTTCCTTTTACTTCATTTTTGAAATAATGCTGTGAATCTTAGTAAAGTACAAATCTTTACAAAGCGATCTATACATTTTTGAATATACATCTTTTTACAGCACAAAGCCTCATTCATGTCATGGCTTTCCATCGTTTTGGTACTGGCGTACGTTATATCTTACGGTATCGGTCTCGGTCCTATACCGTATTTCATCGGTTCCGAATTGTTCGATGTAGGTCCTAGGCCTTCCGCTATGTCGTTAGGCAGCATGTTTAATTGGGGAGGCAACTTCCTCGTCGGGATGATGTTTCCTTCGTTACAAGCTGCGATCGGCCCGTACGTCTTTCTGATCTTCGTTGGCTGCATACAGATCTTGGTGATAATCAATCAGTACGTAATATAATTTTATTACTGTTATTCCATGACAGGCCTTGCGTGATATAATAAATTCGCAAATAATATGAAACTATAATATTGTTACAGGACCTACTTACCTGAAACGCGAGGTCGAAACACGACCGAAATAGCGGCAACTATGACTCAAGGCTTCAAATCAAAAACCGAATGCAACACTCGCTGCGTAAACTAACTGCTTGCAATTCGGATAAATACTTTTTATACGGTTTTTTAATGAAATCAACAAATCATTACCGCCACACATTGCTCATACACGAATGACATTTCGCGTGTTGTGCTGATATCTGATTCATGTAATAGCACATCGATGTAAAAAAAGGTTCTTCCTGGTGCAAGATTAATTTATTCGAGCGAAAAAATTCAGGAGCATTATGTGAGCGAATTTTATATACTATTAATTATTTGTATATATTTTATCTCGTAAATATTCAAAATAGTATAGAATGATGTTGTAAGAAAAAGATAATTAGAGCGATAATGTACACGCGGCTAAGATTTTTTTACATTTATACAATATTTTAACGTACGTCCATAATTTTAAAATTTCTATTCACTCGAGCGATCACTGCCAATTCGTAACATCAATTTATTCGAATAGAGATATGTAATATTTAATACTCAACATCCTTGAAAAAAATCTTACAAAAGTCTCGCTTTGTATACATCTAGGAGGTATATAAATACACTGAAATACATGTATAATTTGTATACACATTGAAAACTAACATCAATCGATTCGTGTTGTAAAATTATTGTATAGTTGATCTAGTTTTTCATAAAACACTAAGCACAGAACCGTATGCGGCGCTATCCTCATCCATGTTGGGAACGTTCCTTTGTACAGGCCCGTCAGACCCTCGGTGCGGAATATCTTGATGAGTGCGTCTCCGAGTCCTTTGTACAGAGAACCTTTGCCGGTCGCGTCTATCTCTGTGTATATAGACATTTAAAACACTTTTAATAGTTGGCGATTTTCAGATAGCAGTAAAGATAGCAATAAACGTATAAAATTTGTCTACTTTTACGAAATTTGCGCTATTAAAGATCTGGCGTTATATCGAGTCTTCTATTTCTGAATGTTTTCTCTAATCGAATGTTCAATATTATTCGCTGAAGAAACTTTATGACGAATCCTTTATGCAAATTTATAGTTATATTCACGCGCATTAGAGTCGTATTTATAGTAGCGCATATAGTACATTATATTTATAGTCGCATATACCAATTAATTAATATTAAACATTTTATCCTCAAATTTATCGTAAGATATATCTTGAGCCGAACAAACGCGAAGTAATATTTTATTGGATAAGGATGAGTATGTTTTACATTTGTCCGCTATTCAAGGTACATTTAAATACATGAAATTTCAATTTTGTGCAAATGTCATAAGTTCAGCGATACAATCGTGGCCTTCGGTAAATCACGCGTTTAACACAACAGACTTTGTCACGGTTTTCGATATACTCACGCTGATTGTATAACCGTGTTGCTAAGACATCGAACGGCTGTATGGTAATGGCTACGCAACTACCTCCGATCACGGAGGCCAAGAAAGTCAGCAATATTGGACGATCTGGAAATATCTGAGAGAAATAAAGAATGCTCCGTCGCGTCGCATCGCGTTGCGTCGCGTTGTATCGATGAGTATAATAATCCTGAGATCTAGATATCACCAATCAGTGCTTTTAGACGTATTTAAGAAATCGAAATTGTTGATGGGATTTTTTTATATCTATTTTTAAAATCGCGCGAAATGCATGATCCGTTATCTTTGGCCAGCAGTTGCTAGCAGAGGAAACTCGGAAGTGGAAAAGGAGAAAAATATTTAGAAAGCATAGAGAGATGGTCAAGTATTACTTACATTTAGCGAACGCAACCAGTCCGATGCTAATCCAAAAGTAGTCAACTGCGTCGCCGAGCCGACGAATAGGCGCGGCATGTTGGCGTTCCAGCCACGATATAAAGCCGCGATGCCGCCCTCCATCCACAACGACTTGAAGGCATTCCATGATCCCGAGTGATTGTGCTGGTAGCCCACGGCGATAGATTTCGCAGATTGCGCCTGTAATTGCGTCTTGACCTGCGGGATAATTGTATCCCCGATTAGCTATGCTATCCGCGTGCGAAGAATAAAATTCCGACGCTCTTATTACTTACATATTTCTAGGCAGATATTTATATCTCTTGTATCTTTATTAAATCAACTTTTGATCCAAAAACATTTGATGTATATGTGATCACTTGCGAGCAACCCTGGTTTTTTATTTTATCTTATGTTTTTTTGTTAATCTATTTCTGGTATTAATTTTAAAACAAGCTTGATGATAACAAACAATTGTGAAGATAAAACATTCTTTTTTGAATTTTGAAAATATTAAAGTTCGTAACAGGGGGTGGAGTGTGTGTGTGTGTGTGTGTGTGTGTGTGTAATCAAATATGATATATACATACATATGATATATACATACATATATAATTTTACACGAATTCGAAACAAAAAGAACAGTCAGTTTGAAGTTACAGTTTCAACAGACGAAGAGACTTGCCAAGTTATAAAATAAAAGTCAGTGTACGTTATGTATCATCGAAATTATTCTAAAATGATTCCTAAACACTTTTCCATCAATAACGATTTGATTTCATTTTATCATGACTCGATCCGGTCGAGAGAAGATTTTGTACGTTGAAGAAAGGGCGAGTGAACGTAACAATTACCAGATAGAACGGACTGCCGAGGACGGCGCCGACACAGCCGGCCGTGCCAGACACCAGGGTGGTCCGTAGAACATCGGTATTGCCCTGTTTGTCAACGATTAGTTCGTATCTCTGGGCAGATTTGTATGCACCCAAGCGAATACCGTTGAGCACCACCTGGAAGGCGAGCGCGGGCACAATTCCTGCTTGTAGAGCCAATATACCTTCGTGCTTAGCTATCAGATACACGGCATGCACGGTGTTTTTATATATCTTCTGATACGAGCCTCGTGCCTCCAGCTCACCCTGCAGTTGCAGCCGCACCTTCACCACGTCCACGGGATTCGTGAAGAAACCGGCTCCCACCGCCGCCAAGGCACCAATTCCGAATTCCACACCCAGCCTGAAAGACAATGAAAGAACACAGAACAGATCAAACAGATGTCGAGGGGTTGGAGATAACCGAAAATCAAACATGAGACAGTTTGATTTTTCCAACATATTATAAATATATAAAATACCCAACATAAAAATTTCCAACATATTATAATAACAAAATAAATTTTCTTTTGTTTCTTCTCATCATCCTAATTTACGAATATTAGATAGATTAGTTTATTCGTTTCTCTAGCTGTTTATTAATATGTTAAGTAAAGAGTTAAGTAAAGAAATATATTTCTTGTGAGTGTATGTTAAGCGTGATCGGTATATTTTTAATTTTAATTTTATTTTATTATTTTATTTTATTATCGCAAATAGTACGTTAATTATTTTCATTTCTGTATTTGTAGATAAATGGTCACGTGCAATAAAAGAAAATTTATATCAAAAGTATTAAAAACTAATGAAAAATCTGTTTTCCATATAATTACAAATTATACGAAATGATTTATTAATTTAATCTTGACGGACAAATATTTTTAAAATACTCAATCTTAAAAGAAAAAAAATATTACAAATAAAAGTTATATATATATGTAATATACAATATATACCAACATCACCCTCTGTACTGTACAATACTTTTATTTAGAATGTTTTTGATAAAATTGCATACTTCTGAAATATTTGTCTGTTAAAAATAAAATGAATCACTTAATTTGTACATATAATACTTGAAGAAAATATTGTTTAATTTGGATAAATTGAAAAAATTATATTAAAAAATAATATGTGTATATTAAATATAAAATCTTTAAATTGGAAAAAAATGCTTAATATCTATAATAAAAAATTATTAATTCGTGATGAGAATATCTTCACACAAAGTAAGTTTTGCTATCGATTAGCTACTCTTAATTCATTTATTTGCTATTAAAAGCTAGTTGATTATCAATTTTACTACTATATACGAATTCCTTTTGATTCACTTAGTTACTCGTGTTTCTGAAAATTATTGAGCATAAAATTATTGAGCATGATTATATACATAAAATGACCCTGACTTATATATTATTTACATCACTTTTCATGTATTAATTTCATCGTCTTTTGAAATATTTTATTGATAAAGAAAAGAAAATCATTGCACTTGTCGATTTTTAAATTATAGATCTATTAAAAATAAATTTGAAAGATTTAAAGAATTTATTTAATCATTTAACAGTATTTTATTAAATCAGAATTTGAAATTGAACCATCAACGTTTCTTGACATTTTTGTTAAGGGACCGTACCTACGTCGACAGCTCTAATTGTAATATATTAGAAAAGAAAAGTGACTTTTAATTATTAGTAACATCTCGCACTTTACATATCCGTGTCAGAGTGACTGGCCGGTTGATTGTTATATAACACTCGTGAATCACTGATGGTACGCCGACGCGGCCAGTTAGACAGCACACAAGGTAAAATTGGGTCAAGAATAGTCGATGATCGAGGATCACAAGCAGGGGACTGAAATGGAAATGCGCACCAGCATGCCATCTAATGCATCGATATACGCGACCGCATAACCAATGTAATGAATGAAAACGATCGCGCACAATGCTTACGTTTTCTCAGTGACCGTGCTCATCTTTTCGTCTCTCGGAAGGAAAGCGAGAAACAGCCGATTTTCTTTCAGTTATTCTCACCGGGCAGCAACGGTAGTTTATATCGGATGCAGCGTCGAATGTAAAATCTAAGTCGCGTGCGCCTTATACGATACACATACAAGCAATCCTGACGTACGTTTACATTACATTCTCTGTACTCCTCCTCATTGTTAAACACGCACGATAAATGGTCACGAATTATATTAACATATTATCGGACTACGTCACAACTCATGACACAGATATGGCATTTTCGAAATACTTCAAAACCCGCGTTTATTCGAATAATTTTTCTTTAACTGACTGCTTAATATAATAACATCCCGATAAATCTCAATCTGTGTTATAACTATTTGATTGTCCATCCAAGAAAAAAAATTTTCGAATCTCTGAAAATTTTTCAATCCTCATTCCTATCTATATGGATTCATTCCATGTGCTGACCTCTGCTCCGTTTTTATCTTTTCCGTTAAGATTTCAGTTTCCGATCCAAAAAATCTATTTCTATCTAAACGGATCTTCTCATATACTCATCTTTGATGACAACTCTGTTTCATCTTTTTTAGTATTATAATTCTAAATTTCTTCTTTCAAGAATTCTTGATATTCGAAAAACACATTCGTCTTCACTTTTAATTATTGTCTCAATATTGTCTTCATGAGTTGAGAAATTACGCGCGCGTTACACTATACATCGACTTTATTTTATTAAACGAAATTAAACGAAACATGGAGGAATGGATTGTTGATCTATTAAAATCAGTGCTGTCAAATATAATGAAAAATCTTGACATTGTTTCACTTGCAAATTTTTCAGATAGTTTTCTTTTGCATAAACAGGTATCTCACATAAGTGACTAACAAGCTAGAAATAAAAAAAAAACATTATATTAGAAATAAATAAGTTTTCATTGCGAGTACGACTAATGAAAACTGTCCATATTGAAAAGCAGAGGAAATTTTATTATCTTACCAGTAATGTTGAATATATATACAATGAAATGGAATTTTTTATTACTTACAAATTACTTACAAATTAATTAAAATAAAATTTATAAAATTTATAAAATTATAATTACAAAATTATGTACATTTTATACATGGGAAAATATCTTATATTTGTTGGAACAAGTCAACAAATATCATCTACTTGTTCAATATCGTTATTTCAATTTTAAAATAATATTATTATGCGACAGATAAACTTCCACCAGCTTTAGAAATCTTTGCAATCTCCTCCTTGAATTTTGCAATAGTCTCTTTTGCCAGAGTCAATTTCTCTTTCAAATCTATCACTTCGAGTCTAATCTTGTTGCGTGCCTCCATAATATCTTTCATCGTAGATTCCTTCAATGCTTCAACTGCAATAATTATAAATTTATTAAATTATCATTAAATTAATTCCAGATGAAATATACACCCATGATTTGAATACAAACAGTCTGTATTATGTCGCCAAGCTCCAAGCGTCATTGGCCTATTAGAATTCAGTAGATGTTGCATCAAGGCTGTTGGATCTTGAAAAACTATCTCCTCATAAAATTCGGATACTAGACTCTTCTTTCCTAGTTGTATCTCGGGCGTTGATTGAAACAATTTCAATATATGATATACTGTTACCTGAAATTGATTCACAGATTTTTTTATAGCTAATGAAATAACAATTAGATTCGGAAATTTTTAGTCTCACAGTAAGTTTTTTCACTTACGGGACGTTCGTTCGGATCATGAAAATAAATCTTAATGACTATCTCAAATTCTCCCCAACCAGTTTCTGTCAATTCATATGGTGGCTTTGTTACAATACGATTAGGATTGTTATAACTCTCATGCAGTTTGAAATGCACTTTCTTCACATAGGTGGACATATCCTCGTTATTATATGGCTTGACGTACACAGTCCACTGATGCGTGTGTCCATCTTCTTCTCTTTTTTTGCCAAAGTATCGTGCCACATTTCCGTAAACTATAGGTTTGATTATTGTAACTCCCTATTAGAAGTAAATCACTTAATAAAGTAAAGTATGTCAATTTCTATTAAACGAATTTGGTAGCAGCAAATTTATTATAAGTAGTTTGTGTTACTAATAGTTTGTTAATTTTTTAGGTTACCTTTATTCTACCACCAGAATCTGGACCAAACTCGTTTGTAGATGCCATTGCCTTCGCGATAAGCTTGATCACAATTTCGCAAGTTATCGGTCTAACAAAGTCACAACACTTCAAAGAGTTATTTGAACTTCAAACTTTCCAAAGTTCCTTAATTTTTTTTCCGCCAACATAAATATTTACTCAAGCGCTATCTAACGGATACCGGCTGGAAATGTTAGAAAATTAATATGGCGGCATATCAGCGCATATAAAGGTATGCATTTGTGCTTTACTTAAAAAGTGATCATAATGATTATATGGTCATATTATTGTTAAAATTACATATAAGATAGAATAATAAATATGTAAAAAACTAGAAGGCACATTGTAAACAGCGGATAAGATTTAATTTATAGCTGATTTATCTCGGTCATATATAATATTTATATCCGCACGCACGCATACACTGCTTCTGAGTGCGTGGTGTAGCAGGTAGCGCACAAGATGCTATGCCAGAGAGATCTCGGGTTCGATCCCAGAGATAGAACCGAAAAGTTTTTCGAACACTCGTAGCTTCTCTCGGCAGGCAATAGCAAACCGCCGAAAAGTCCTTACCGTGTTGTACCTTTTCCTAATCTCTAAACAAAATTGTTGTTTGGAATCGACGTTAAACTGTAGGGCCTTTACTGTGTACAATTAACATACGCATCACAGGCATATGAGAGAAGTTACCACCATCTATCAGATAGATAAATAAAAAAGACGATAAAAATATAT